CAAGCCATTGTAACAAACTAGCTGTTGTAGATATGATCCAGAAGGTTCTAGAAACCACGGGTAGGGACCTGACCCCAAGCACATGGTCGAATCCCTGGGGGAAGATTGGCGGTGAAAATAACTGCCACCTTTGTTCACAATTTCGTATAATGAATTATTCCACATTATTCAGTAATTTAGAGAAATTAGTCTTCATTCAAATTGAATAATATTCCTGTTTATAGTATGAAGAGTATCCTGATTGTTAGGATAACGAGTTAAGTCACCATCAGTGACGTCACTAGCAGGACTAGACTTGGGCTGGAACAATTTGGCCGACCTGAAGTCACAGGTCAACAGAGTTTCAACGTCCACTATTTCTCAAAGGTCAAATAGCCATTTTGTAAACGGAAATAGCTCTTCCCTAGATGCTTGTGTAATTAACTTCAGTTAAAAGAATTCAACCAATCTGGGTCGTTCAGTACAACAGAGATTAGTTATTAAACTTAAGCCCTGCTAGTAACTTAGTAAACTAGGCGGAAGAATACCTTGCTCTGGCTTCTGGGTAGAGGAGCATGTGGGAAGGACAGTGTGGTTCCAGGAGCGGCCCGGGCAGGTGGCCTCAATCAATGGCCCCCAAGACCTAGCACAAACATCTAGCTGGTCGCCTCAAGGTAGAGTGCTATAAGAGTTTGGTATAGGGCAGTAGTTCAACTCATTGCCTATTCAGGTAGGAAGTGTTAAGCCAGGGAGTGTTTTGATTTAGATTTTGTTTAGCTTTTGAATAAACCATTTAGCTATTAAAATGTCTTTTTTATTCATTTCCATTTTATGTAATTTATGTATATTGTCCCGTACCGTGTGGGTAGCCTAAGAGGCCGAGTTGAGTTGGGTGCCGATTATAACACCGAATCAGAATTCATTATCCCTTTTGATTTTAATTAATTCCACACTTAACGTAAATCCAATTTCATATATTACTAGTGGGGATCAAGCTCCAAGATTTATTAATTAGCATGATCGATCCAGACCTCGGTCATTGCTCAGTGGTAATGGTCTGGTGGTGGCAGCGCAAGGCGATTCTAGAGTTTTGCTAGAAGTCTGGTTCACGTCACAAGGTTGTAGCATCTTAAGTCGATCAACGGCTTAAGACCACGTGGCATGGGGTTGGCTCAAGTATAGCTCTGGGGGTCCCTTGGTATTGAGAAGCGAATAAAGATTAAGGACCGGGTGCAGGTAAAAGTAGATGCCTAAAATACAGGTAAAGAACGAGACCCGCCTCGGTTACAATGGTACACGACACACTGCTGTGTTACACAATTTCAATTGTAAAGATGAAAAAGCTCAAGAAGCTCAGGAATGTGAACAACGCGCCAAGAACAAACTTACCCAAACTACAGATGACATATTGGCAGGGAATAGGGAAGCTCACAACAATTCACATACCTCCCAACCCATTACAAAGCAGACATAACCCACACTTGAGACATGTCAGCCATAAGGGAACAACTGAGTTACCAGTAAGAATGATGAGTCATCAACGAAATGAAAAATGCTCCAAGAAAAAGGAATGATAACTTTTCATTCGCCTGGCAGCCATTTGCAAGGAGTGGATGACAACAAACCACCGCAGAGTGGAGGCGCGCCATGATTGGGTGCGCCACCCTGGTGGCCAGTTACGGCAACACAAAATATCACAACCAGAAACACAAGTTTAACGACTTGTATAGCAATACTCGTGCCTAAAATATAAACAACGAAACCGCTAATCTGAGAGGAGGTAAAAGCAGGGGTACCAAAATCACATGAAAAGAATGTGCAATAAATGGATAATTAAACACATGAAAAGTTTTTTTTTCTTTTTCATTCATGAAAAACATCCAAGAAAGATGGAAGCGTCCGACATGAGGGTGCATATTTCATGCCAGCAAATATGGTAATCCAAATTCATAACGGGAAGGAGGGTACAAAAACCCCCTTCCTCCAGAGGGCACAAGAGCGCAAGCATGGTCAAAAAGTGCCCAAGAGCTCCAAGCAGACTCACTCGAGCCCCAGGAACCCCCGACAAAGGCTCCCAGGGCAGACCCCTCATCCACACCCACCACCCCTGAAGAAAAGGCAGTGTCCAGGGGACAGCCTTCCAAGAAGGAAGTCTGTTGGGTCAACCCAGAAGCCCCGGTGGAAAATTTGGGCTCAACCACCTCTGGGGAACAAGTCCCGCAAGACTCCGGGTCATAAGTGTCCCCAACCCAACAGGTAGCATGACGGAGGCAGTACGAGTGATCGACACCCTGAGGCAGAAATGATAAACAACCTTCAACTTTGCACAAGACGAGAGCAGGCTCAGAAGAAGTATCAACTGTGCAATCAAGCCCACAGGGGTTTCCAGGGCCCATAGGGTGAATGAGCCCTATGGGAAGCCCAGGCACTGGGGCCAGCTAAGCTGGTAGAACCCTGCATGATAGTAGGCAAACCAACCATCAGTAGCAGCGGTGAAACGTTGGGGGCAACAGGGAAGGACCACCCCTGCAAACACACAACCTAACTGGCCCTATTTTCCGCTTGTTACAACTTCTAATAAATGTTACATCTTCTTATAATGGTTTTATGACGTATTAGAATATTGTTACAACTTGCTATATTGGTTGTTACAACTTGTTAGGAGGTTTTAAACCTTGTTTGAAGCGTTGTAGCAACGTCGCAACTTCATCATGTGTGTGGCGGGACCACAATCTAGGCGAACTTAATAAAGAGCTAAGCAGACTTCTTCTGTCCACACAGGTAACAACCTAGAAAATTAAAAATAAAGCCCCACAACCACACCAATAGCAAACTAGCAGTTGGAAATTAATATCTGCCGTCGCGTTGGAAGAAAAGCTGACTGCGCCAGCCAGTGTGCCCCACTTAGCAAAAACACTCCCCTACTCGGAGCAAGACGGAAATCCCCAAGACCCCCAACACACCCCAAGGGCGAAGACATCGAGCGAGGAAGTCCTCAATGGGGAGTGATTCCCGAACGCCCCATGGAAGATAACCCCGACACACAAGGGCAGTACTCACGGAGCACCACACAGGGCAAAAATCCAGAACAGGAATTTGAGGTCAGAGGTGATCGATCTGACCACTAGCACATCAGCTCAAGAACTGGAGTTATGGATTGCTGGCTTACCAAAGCTGGCTTCTCCTTCCCCCCTTTTTGGGAGGGGGGGGGGGGAAGGGGGGCAGAGCCAACAAGTGGGAGTGCTGGTTGCATGAAGTTTTGTTTGTTTGTCTTCTTTCTAACAGAGTTATTTTGATCATTTAGGACGTAGAATACATAATGTAACCCGATAGTGGTCTGTTTTGATTCGCCTACCTTTCTGGGTCCTTTCCCGGTCAATGACAATTATTATGTAATTTAAATGTAAAGTACCGATAGGCCATTGCTCCCTGCACCTCTCTGAGGGGGGCCAGGTTCTGGCTCATAGTCCCCGGTAGGCAAAGGACTCCTGTGACTTCTGATCCCAAACTAATATAGCATTATATAAGTTCGGATAGCTTCAGGGAGCCGACGAGGCTCCCCACAGAAAGGTTAATAACCCCTAATAACCCCTAGTGTAGATGAATATTGTGCAACTTTAACGGTACTTTCAGTTGACGCCCATGATTTTTGTTTAACAGCATCAGAAATATACAAATATACTATACGTATTCATACTGGCAAAACTTTTTTAAAAATAAGTATTTTAACTACTGTACTATACTGTACTATCTTTGACCAGATATCGGCAATACTGTGGCTGGATACCTGGCACACAACGGTACTCTTGCCACTAAAACATTTGGGTTAATACTCGTAAAAGCAACGCATCAACAGAAGACTGGTATCATTGCAGGGATCGTTTTCTTCTCTTTCAAATCATATACAGTAGTAGATTTTTCCAATAGCGTGAGCAATATTTGTATTACAGTGGCACCTCGACATACGATTGCCCCTACTTACGATAATTTCGAGTTACAAAGTAAATTTCATCGAAAAATGCGACTCGACATCCGATGGTGTCGTCGACTTCCGATATTTGTTGGTACACGTTCGGGTCGACCGAGCGCGTGGTTCCCAGTCATGCAGCCGACCTGCCTCAGTTTACTATAGCTGCCCGCTTAGTGACGATCGCACCTATAAGAAATTCCGCTTTTGTGGTGATTTTTTGCATTTTGAACATTAAAGTAATTATTATATATCATGCCATGAGTCCCAGGAAAGTCAGTGGTAAGACTCAACATATGAAAACCCATGTAAGGATGACCTTAGAGCAGAAACAAGAGTACAGAATGTCTCTTCCTCAACAATTAAATAAGAAAGTGTGTGTAGCATGGGAAGAATTGCAAACCTTTGCTGAAACGACTCGCCCAAATCAAGCTGCAGTAGGTCGTTGCCTTAACCTATTCAATGACACTGTGATGCATCATTACAGACAAATGTTAAAACGAAGGGAAAAACAAATGTCTCTTGACAAATTTGTAGTGAGACAAACAAGCAGTGAACCACAACCAGGTCCTAGTGGTATTCAGGCAAAACTTAGGAGAGAGAGTACCCCAGAGAAAACATCACTGCCTGATGTGATAATGGAAGGGGACTCCCCTCCCAAACAGTAACACCTCTCCTCCTCTCCCCTCATCACCATCTTCCATACACCATCAAGAGTCCTCCATAAAGGTAAGAGTACTTTGGTACTGTATTGGAGTTAGAAAAAAACATTGTATTCAGTATAAAATGTATTTGTATGTTAATATTTTGGAGGGTGGGGAACGGATTAATTCAATTCCCTTTAATTCTTATGGGAAAAATCTCTTCGACTTACGATCCGTCTCTGGGAACGGATTAGCATCGTAAGTCGAGGCCCCACTGTATTTGTTTCACTTAAGAATTTAAAGTTACCATCATTAGTGGTCAGATAAAGACTACTGTAATATGTAGTCTGAATGTAAAATATGCTTTGTGAACTCTTGACAACAAATCTTCAGCTATGTTTTGTACAAACCTCAATGATTTTATCCATTTTTTCTCTGACTTTAGCCTTCTTCTCTTTGAAATCCTCGAGAAGGTCCTGTCCTGCCTCTCGCATGTTCTTTTTCTTCTTGACCACATTCCATGATGTCACACTCTGAAAAGAATAAGATTTATACTTCATTCTGAAGGCCCAAGGTAAAAGTGAATCAAGGCACTACTTCAAAATAATGCATACAATACATTCTCTATAAGTACTGTATGTATACAGTACAGTACTATACATACTAGCCAGAGAGGGTCCCAGTAGTAGTCAGGTTCATTCTCGACGCACAATCCAGAATTCCGGGTTCGGATCCCAGGCGGGACAGAAATGGTTGGGCACATTTTCTTTCACCTAATGCCTCTTCACCTAGCAGTGAGTAGGTACTCAGGAGTTAGTCAGCGTGTTGTGGGGTTGCATCCTGGGCAAGTTTAGCAATTCCACTCTGGGGGACCTCGATAAAAGCCTAACATGTATGAATACTGGCTTCCTGTTTTCCGACACAGTGAATTATAATTATTATTATACTCAGAAGCATGTACACATTTATAAGGAACCTTGCAAAAGACGAGGACAAGAACGACCAGGAATTCATTGAGGAAATGTTTGCAAAACAGATGGGCATGGAGGAAGAATTAAGTATATCAGATGTCAGGAAGTTAGGCGGCCTGAAGCAAAGATGATATGAATAACCATTGCAAAATTTGAACATAGAAGATACTCAACAATACCCACAAACTCAAAGATCTTGAGAAGTATAACCAAGTACAATACAGTAGAACCTCAATTTTCGAAAGCTCGTTTTTTAAATTTTTCAGTTCTCGAGCTCAATTTCCTCGAAAAATTCGACTCGGTACTTGAGGTTTGCCTCGATGCTCGAGTTTGTTAATACATGTATGGGGTTGACGAGCGCGTGGTTCCGTTTTGTTGGATGAGGGGCGGGGCAAGGCATGCACAGTTGACCAGTGTCTCCTGCCTTGTGACAATCGCGCTTGAATATTGTATTTGGGAGGACAACAGGATGGATGGTGAGGGGGAATAGATGGATAGATGGATGGATGATGAGGGGAATAGATGGATGGATCGTGAGGGGAATAGATGGACAGTGATGGGAATAGATGGATGGATTAACGATAAGGGGAATAGATGGATAGATGGATGGTGAGGGGGAATAGATGCTTACATCAGATATCCACACACTATCCACATGGATACAAGTCACATCATACACAAGAGGGTTCACCAGTTGATTTTAAAACCTACTTAACCTAACCTAAAGTAACCTAAGCTAAGCTAATAAATTCTAACCTTATGATACATATATGGTTTTCACAATTAGGAAAACAAATTTCGTCAAAACAGCTGTGTACAATTTGACCATACTCCATCCACACAGTACCCACACATGCACAGTACCACCCACACAGAACTTAGAAACTTACTATGGGGGAACTTAGTAAAATATGGGGAACTCAGAATTTTTTTTAAGGAATTTGACAGGAAAAACTTGCTGTTAGGCAAGGCAGTAAATGAGATGCATGTCAAGTTTCGTGAAATATATGATAAGGCACAAACAAATTTATACCAAAGCAGAGATGCAGAACTAGGAAACAGGATTGGTTCAACAGAAATTGCGAGAGGGCCAGAGACCAAAAGACACAAAAATGGAATCAATATAGGAAGAGGCCAAACCCCCAAACATACCAGCGATACAAAGAGGCGAGAAACAACTACACAGCAGTGAGGAGACAAGCAGAAATAAATTTTGAGAAAGGGATAGCAGACAAATGTAAAACAGAACCGGGTCTATTCTACAGATTCATCAACAACAAATTACAGGTAAAGGATAATATTCAGAGGTTGAAAATGGGAAACAGATTCACGGAAAATGAAAAGGAAATATGTGAGACATTAAACGAAATGTTCTAAATTGTGTTTGTACAAAAAGAAATCTTCAGGGAACCAGACACAATAAGAATTCCAGAGAACAACATAGAGCACATAGAGGTGTCTAGAGACGAAGTGAAAAATGCTCAAGGAGCCAAGTAAGAACAAAGCAGTTGGCCCAGATAAAGTTTCACCATGGGTTCTGAGAGAATGTGCACCTGAGCTCAGCATTACACTTCAATTGATTTTTCAGGCATCCTTGTGTACAGGAGTTGTAGCTGATGTGTGGAAACAGGCTAACATAGTTCCAATCTACAAAAGTGGTAGCAGGAAAGACCCCCTAAATTATAGACCTGTATCATTGACAAGTGTAATAGTAAAAATATTGGACAAAATAATTAAAACTAAATGAGTAGAACACCTGCAGAGAAACGATATAATATCAGACAGACGGTATGATTTTTGATCTGGAAGATCCTGTGTAACAAATTTAATCAGTTTCTATGATCGAACCACAGGAAAGAGATGGTTGGGTTGACTGCATCTATCTGGACCTAAAAAAAGGCTTTCGACAGAGTTCCACATAAGAGGTTGTTCTGGAAACTAACATATTGGAGGGGTGACAGGTAAGCTTCTAACATGGATGAAACATTTTCTAACTGACAAAAAATTGAGGGCAGTAATCAGAGGACAGGAGAAATGTCACAAGTGGAGTACCACAGGGTTCAGTTCTTGCACCGGTAATGTTCATTGTCTACATAAACAATCAACCAGTGGGAATACAGAATTATATGAACATGTTTGGTGATCACGCTGAGATAATATGGGAAGATATGAAACATAGAAGTTTAACATGCCCTTCAAGAAGACCTGGACAAAATAAGTATGGAGCACCATTTAACGAATTAAATTTAAGAAGAACAAATGCCATGTTATGGGATGTGGAATAGTTGAGAATAGACCCCACACTACCTATAAATTATGTGAGAAATCTTTAACAAATTCTGATAAAGAGATCTAGGAGTTATCTTGAGGTTATCTTGAGATGATTTCGGGGCTTAGTGTCCCCGCGGCCCGGTCCTCGACCAGGCCTCCACCCCCAGGAAGTAGCCCATGACAGCTGACTAATTCCCAGGTACTTATTTACTGCTAGGTAACAGCGGCATCAGGGTGAAAGAAACTCTGCCCATTGTTTCTCGCCAGTGCCCGGGATCGAACCCGGGACCACAGGATCACGCATTTAGTGTTCTGTCCGCTCAGCCATCGGCTCCCCACCGGGTGGTTCTAGATAGAAAACTGTCACCTGAGGACCACATAAAGAACGTCGTGCAAGGGGCCTATGCTACACTTTCTAGCTTCAGAATTGCTTTTAAATACAGTACATGGATGGAGAAATACTAGAGCTACAAGGAGAGGTTAAAGGCGTTAAATATGTTAAAACTAGATGATCGAAGAAAAAGAGGTGATATGATCAATACGTACAAATTAGTAATTTAATCGATAAAATTGATAGGGAAGAATTCCCGAAGACCTGGAACTGCAAGAACAAGAGACCATAGATTTAAACTAAACAAAGCTGACAATGAAATATGAGAAACTTCCCCTTTGAGAACAGAGTGGTAGACGGTTGGAACAAGTTAAGTGAGAAGGTGGTGGAGGCCAAAACCGTCAGTAGTTTCAATGCGTTATACGACAAAGAGTACTGGGTAGACGGGACACCACGAGCGTAGCTCTCATGCTGTAACTACACTTACATAATTACACACACACACACGAGGTACCCACACACACACACACTGAGCCCAGTAGGCTCAGGAATCTGTACACATGTTGATTGACAGTTGAGAGGTGGGACCAAAGATCCAAAGCTCAACCCCCGCAAGCACAATTAGGAGAGTACACACACACACACACACACACACACACCATGCAGTTGTTGTGTGGTGCCCATATCTTAAGAAGCACATCAACAAGCTGGAAAAGGTGCAAAGACATGCTACGAAGTGGCTCCCAGAACTGAAGGGCAAGAGCTACGAGGAGAGGTTGGAAGCATTAAACATGCCAAAACTAGAAGACAGAAGAAAAAGAGGTGATATGATCACTACGTACAAAATAGTAACAGGAATTGATAAAATCGACAGGGAAGGATTCCTGAGACCTGGCACTTCAAGAACAAGAGGTCATAGATTTAAACTAGCTAAACACAGATGCCGAAGAAATATAAGAAAATTCACCTTCGCAAATAGAGTGGTAGACGGTTAGAACAAGTTAAGTGAGAAGGTGGTGGAGGCCAAGACCGTCAGTAGTTTCAAAGCGTTATATGACAAAGAGTGCTGGGAAGACAGGACACCACGAGCGTAGCTCTCATCCTGTAACTACACTTAGGTAATTACACTTAGGTAATTACACACACACACACACACACACACACACACACACACACACACACACACACACACACACACACACACACACACACACACACACACACACACACACAGTACCTTAGAAGGCTGAGAGGTGTCGACGGCCTTGAAAGTAACCCCAGAGGTCCACAGCGCCCTAACAGGTACACCATACCAGGTATATCTGCCCGGTGCACCATACCAGGTATACCTGCCAGGTGTGCCATACCAGGTGTCTCTGAGAGGAGCAGCAAGCCAGGTGTGTGCGAGACCCGCGGGGCCATGACTGAGGCCACCAGGATGGCGCAGGAGCTCAACCTCGGCCTCCCGTACACAACTCAGGGAGGCTCCCGTCACCACCTGTAGCCTCCCACGGGCTCCTGTCACCACATGCAGCCTCCTACAGGCTCCTCCTGCTGTGGCTTGCTGCTGCAGGAGGCCCCGAAGGCGTCGCAAGAGGAGGGTGGCGCCAGGAGCAGACGACATGACGGGCGCCGCCATCACCCCATCCGGAATAAACAAAGGCCTAAATCCTTTTTTATTTTAACCACATTAACATCCATTTGGCATATTTATTTTAATATAATTTATGCATATTAATTATTTGCGAGTTAAGTAGTTATTAGATTTGGTTTAGGAAGCTGATTATATTCGATAAATTTTACCGGGAGGTTAAAATATTTTAGCGTAATTGATTTATTATGGAGAGGAATTCTAATTTGATCTCACAAGTGTAGTTTCAGGTATATTTTTTATTATGAGGTGTGAGGCTGCTTCTATACCTCATATATGAGGTGTGAAGCTGCTTCTGTGCCTTATATATGAGGTATGAAGCTGATTCTGTGCCTTAAGATATTAGGTGTGAGGTAGTTTCAGTACCTCATATATGAGGCATGAGGCTGCCTCAGCACCTCCCTCACACCTCATACAGCTCTATTATACATACTAAAAACCCGTCTGGTCGCTCTACTGGTCTTTACTTCCTCATTAAAGACGTCTTAAGCGGAAATATTAGAATAACGGGATCTGATGGTCGCTGGCAGAGTTGCCAGCTCGTGCCGTATGAGGCATTAATGAGGTGTGAAGCAGGTGTGAGACGAGGTATGAGGCAGCTGGGCAGTGAGAGGAGATAGTAAGGAAAATGTAAAGTGTGCCTAGCGAGCAGTGATGGAGTGTGTAGTGTGCCAATACAGCTGGGTGTATAAGACTACGTGGCAACGGGGTGTAAGGTCTGGCCAGCCATGGCGGGATCAGCTGGTGTCAGTCGACCAGCTGACGCCGCCACATCAGCTGACTTTTGTTGACACTCCACCAGCTGACTCCTGTTGACACTATGGGCGCTCCTGACGTGTTTCTGGTGAGTACTGGGGGTGTACTGTGGCTCAGGTGGTGGGTAGAGCAGGCATGGCCGGAACAGCTGGTGTCAGTCGACCAGCTGACTTGTTGACACTCCACCAGCTGACTTTTGTTGACACTCCACCAGCTGACTTTTGTTGACACTCCACCAGCTGACTCCTGTTGACACTATGGGCGCTCCTGACGTGTTCCTGGTGAGTACTGGAGGGTGTACTGTGGCTCAGGTGGTGGGTAGAGCAGGGCGCTGGCCAGCCACAGAGGCACCAGCTGGTGTCAGTCGACCAGCTGACTCCACACTCTTGGGGACAGGCAGCCAGCATTTATATGTATCTTAGGCCTATATCGAGCCCACCCCCAAGGGAGGAATTACTGACCCTGCCCAGGATACGACCCCACAACAAGCTGACTATCTCCTGGGTACCTACTTACTACTAGGTGAACAGGTGCATTAGGTGATAGGAAACGGGCCCAATCATTTCTGTCCCATCTGGGATTCGAACCCGGAATTCCCGATTGCAAGTCGAAAACGAATCCAACGGTACTTCGTTTATGGTGTCTGCCTGCCAGGGGCCTGACGGCTGAGTGGACAGCGCTCGGGATTCGTAGTTCTGAGGCTCTGGGTTCGATTCCCAGTGGAGGCGGAAATAAATGGGCAGTTTCTTTCACCTTGATGCGCCTGTTCACCTAGCAGTAAATAGGTACCTGGGAAGACAGCTGCTACGGGCTGCTTCCTGGGGATGTGTAACAAAAAGGAGACCTGGTCGAGGACCGGGCCGCGGGGACGCTAAGCCCCGAAATCATCTCGAGATAACTTCGAGATAACCTCAAGATAACCTTCACCACTTCACTTCCTTGGGAATTCCAATTATTTATTGCTTATTCTGACACCAGTCAGGAGGCCTGGTCGACGACCGGGCCGCGGGGACACTAAGCCCCGGAAGCACCTCAAGGTAACCTCAAGGTAACACCGAAAGCAAAATTCCATTGTTTCTACGGCCCATTTACATAGTTTTCATCCATGTCCCATTGTTCATGTCCCATTGTTCATGTCCCATTGTTCATGTCCCATTGTTCATGTCCCATTGTTCATGTACCAACCCTGCTGAATTGTTCTTGCCTGGACTGTCTGTCCCCCAAGTATTTTGTAGGTGGTAATTATGTCTCCTCTGTTGTTCTATTTCGGCTATAAGAGGTTCAATCACTTTCCTCGTAGCTCATATCTCTTGGCTCTGGGACCCAGTCTGGTGGCATACCTCTGAACTTTCCCCAGTTTCGTTTAGCGAGGTTGGGGCTCCAAGCAGGTGCCGCAAACTCCAGGATTGGTCTGGTGTCAGGAACATAAAAGATTCGGAATGACTTGTTCATATTCCCAAAGGCAGTTCTTACATTATCTTGCGGGGACACTAAAAAGCCCCGAAATCGACTCAAGATAATTTCAAGAAGCACTTACGAACCTGGGGGCCAGATTCACGAAAGCACTTACGCAAGCACTTACGAACCTGTACGTCTATTCTCAGTCTTTGGCGGCTTTGTTTACAATTATTAAACAGTTAATGAGCTCCGAAGCACCAGGAGGCTGTTTATAACAATAACAACAGTTGATTGGCCAGTTTTCATGCTTGTCAACTGTTTAATAAATGTAACCAAAGCCGTCACAGATTGAGGAAAGATGTACACGTTCGTAAGTGCTTGCGTAACTGCTTCGTGAATCTGGCCCCAGGTTCGTAAGTGCTTGCGTAACTGCTTTCGTGAATCTGGCCCCTGCAGCCCACCAAGACCCGCCAACCCCCGGCACCTCTCGGCCAAGCAGGGCCGTTAAATAGGGATACCAAACGGCAGTAGCAACGCCAAAACCCGAAAACAGAACGTGATCAGACGGCTCCCAGGTGGAGGAGGTGGCCAGACGTCCGCCTGTCGTCAAGGTTGAACCTGGGGCCAGATTCACCAAACAGTTACGCAAGCACTTACGAACCTGGGGCCAGATTCACCAAGCAGTTACGCAAGCACTTACGAACCTAGGGCCAGATTCACCAAGCAGTTACGCAAGCACTTACGAACCTGGGGCCAGATTCACCAAGCAGTTACGCAAGCACTTACGAACCTGGGGCCAGATTCACCAAGCAGTTACACAAGCACTTACGAACCTGTACATCTTTCCTCAATCTTTGACGGCTTTGGTTACATTTATTAAACAGTTTACAAGCATGAAAACTTGCCAATCAACTGTTGTTAGTGTTATAAACAGCCTCCTGGTGCTTCGGAGCTCATTAACTGTTTAATAATTGTAAACAAAGCCGCTAAAAATTGAGAAAAGATATACAAGGTTCGTAACTGCTTGCGTAACTACTTCGTGAATCTGGCCCCAAGGAGTCCTAGGTTAGGTGTTTAGGTTCTGTTGGCGATTCTTTGTATTTGTAGTACGTGAGTGAAGCATTTACAGCGTTGTGGTTCGAACACCAGTCGTCAGTGAAGCACTTGTTCCGGAAGTAATAATAATTAGGAACAGTACATACATAGTTGCAGAGTTACAGTACAAACATTGTTAGATTTAAAGATAGAGGTAGTACATACAATACCTAAAGTCACTATTTGCAGTCTCCGTGGTGTAGTGGTAAGACACTCGCCTGGCGTTCCGCGAGCGCTATGTCATGGGTTCGTATCCTGGCCGGGGAGGATTTACTGGGCGCAATTCCTTAACTGTAGCCTCTGTTTAACGCAACAGTAAAATGTGTACTTGGTTGTAACAACGATTCTTCGCGGCGGGGATCGTATTCCAGGGACCTGCCCGAAACGCTACGCGTACTAGTGGCTCTACAACCATGTAACAACTCTTCTATATATCTCAAAACAAAACAAAAAAAAAACTAGTACGCACAGCGTTTCGGGCAAGGTGAGGGGGGGAAACACTTAGACAAAAACTTAATAGTAATTGAGCTTAAAGTATAAATTGTGGTGAATGAAAAAAAATAATAATAGATAAAAAAGGGGGAACATGGTAGAAAATTGCCAATATACAAGTTGGTCAACAAACAGCATTTTATTTTTTTTAAATTGTAAGACATGGGTTGACAATATAGGGGTGAGGTAGGTTACAGGGAGTTAATTAGGTAGTGTTTAGTTTTACTCTTAAACTGGTTGAGAGAGGTACAGTCTTTGACATGGTCGGGAAGGTCATTCCACATTCTGGGTCCCTTGATTTGTAGAGCATTTCTAGTTTGGTTAAGTCGTACTCTTGGAATATCAAATAGGTATTTGTTTCTGGTGTGGTGCTCATGGGTTCTGTTACAACCTTCTAGGAAACTTTTAAGGTCAGGATTGGCATTACAGTTCAGTTTTAAATATATAGAGTACACAAGAGAGGATGAACAGTGACTTAATGTCTAACATATTCAGAGATTTGAGTAGGGGTACCGAGTGATGTCTGGGGCCAGAGTTGGATATAGTTCTAATAGCAGCTTTGTGTTGAGTAATTAGAGGACGTAAATGATTTTGGGTAGTAGAGCCCCAAGCACAAATACCGTAGTTGAGATAAGGATAGATGAGGGAGTAATAGTCACCAGGGCAGGGCGTGGTACATAATATCTGATCTTAGAAAGAATGACAACAGTTTTTGAAACTTTTTTTGATATATTTAGAATGTGTCCCTGGAAATTCCGCTTGTGGTCGATGAGGACACCATGGAGCTTACCATCTACTTTACTATTGATTTATATATTGTTAGATTAATTTCATTTGAGGATTTATTACCAAACAAAATATAGAAAGTTTTGTCAGTGTTAAGGGTGAGTTTGTTAGTAGTTAGCCAAAGATGGACTTTATTTAGTTCAGTATTTACTGTGGCATTTAGAGCAAGCGGGTCAGGACTGGAGAAAATGAAAGTTGTGTCATCAGCAAATAAGATTGGTTTGAGGTGTTCAGAGGCATTTGGAAGTGTTCGAACGAAACCAGTTGAGTCGTGTGTAAACCGTTTTTCATTCATAAACAGCTGGGGGTTTGGCGGGTGGATGGAATGGTCTTTGGAGGACGGGCTTAATTACATTGATAGTCTGAAGCCCCACCACCCGCCCTTCACAATTTTTTCCTCGAAGCTGTAAATGCCAAGACATTACTTCACTTTAAAATATACATTGAAAAGATCAAGGCAAATAGAGGAAGTGGGCGAGCTTCGACAAG